GAAAATGTGCCTTTTCCCAACAGTGTTCATCAAGGGAGTCCGATTTCCATCATTTTGTTCAATTTTGTCATGGACGACATTCTGGAGGGTGCGCTTCGAGAATATAGTCAACTTGGAGTTGAGCTTCTTCCTGGCACTAGATTGACGTATCTAGAGTATGCGGACGATATTGTTTTACTTAACTCCTCTGCCAGAAACATGCTGGACAGGTTGAGCGATCGAGCTGGTTTGTATGGAATGCGCTTCGCACCCTCAAAATGCAAAGTGCTGCTTCAAGACTGGGACACTTCAACTCCTACTTTCTTTATTGCAAGTTATCCGTTTGGGACCGTGAACAGTTTCACATACTTGGGTAGCACCATCTCTTCAAGCTTGCTGTGTTTGACCATCGTTGTCTCCGCCAGTTTACCCATATTAAGTGGACTGATTACGTGAGCGATGTGGCAGTTCGCCGGTGCGTATTCCGGAACGCTCGGGATGTGCGATCAGTTGGTCAACTAATCACGTTGCACAGCTTGCGATGGTTGGGTCACCTACTCCGTATGTCGTCTGATCGTTTACCGGGCATTATATGCTGAGGCCGCCGACAGTTTGGTAAAACCGCGTGGTGGTCAAGCAACAACGTGGTCACGAAATATGAAGAACCTGACTACTCCATTGAGCAAAGTGGGTAAGTGTCGCCTGCCTGGCTGGGGTCCTCGTGATCACTTAAACCGCTGGTTAGAGGTACTATCCGAGATGGCGATGTGTCGCAGTCAATTACGTACCTGTATTCATTCCATTTCTAGTTCATGTTCTTAGTCTCCTGTTGTTAACTTTTGACTTTCTTAGTAACGTTTTTTTCTAGGATATTCCATGTCACTGTTGAGGTGAGCGACGACCCGAGCCACAGCACCTTTTGGTCAGGTCCATGGCTGTTATGATGATGTTGTTAAGATGTACTTGCGCTTTGACTTTGTCGAAGGTGAATTGCGTTGGCACTGTAAAATGCGACCGCTTTCAGGGTGTCGTTTGATTAGTGCACAATGGACTGTTCCTCCCGGTCTGCTTCCAAGCTGAGGGCGACTCGCTACTTAAGTTCTCAGTCTGCGTTTCCCGCTTGGACCGTGAGTTTTAGGAGGCTTTTTATGATCCTATGTGTAGACACCGAGACTCAGAAGTTCATGTTTTACGATAATCCATCTACTGCACTGGGGTTTTAGCGGAGCTCGCAGTAGCCCAATGGTTACGATTTGACTGCCGCAACCACATAGTTGTGGGTCCGAGCCCGGTTACCACCTCCGTTTAAGCAGTCTAGCAGTATCTGTCCGGGGTGAAAACCGCGCTGTTTGTTTTGTCTGCATACACTTCAAGTGATTGCATTTTTGGGGAAACCAAAGATCCGTTCTACCAACACCTTCATGACATTGTTCGTCTAGCTCCTAGGACAAATACTGTGATTTTAGTCAGTGTGAATGTCCGAATGGGTTGCTTACCATCAAACGAGGCCCCCTTAAGAGGTCAATCCGGATAACAGGACAAACTTCTGGGTTTATTCTCAGGCATTCGTCTGTTCCTCACCAATATGAACCATCTCCAACCCAAAAGACGGTCAGCTACCTAACGTTTGTCATAAGCTTCGATTCAAAGAAACCACAACGAATTAGATGCAGATAGCAGGGTCACGTGAGAGATTGACGCTCGTGCTGACCGACAGACCTGGACCCTAACCATGCGTTTGCTTGCGTGTCTATGGGCTTCAGTGGTGTCCCACAAAAGGAACTCAAACGGCGGGACGTAACCTGGTTGTTTGATCCACCTGCAATAATCTCGTTCATTCATAACGACGATGGGCTTGACTGAAAGGCATTGAGTCAAATGGCCACTCACCGCAACAGTGACGCGGAGGAACTTTTTTTTAAACATCAAAGAAAAGTAAACCAGAGCTAAACAGAAAAACTAGAAATGCTGTGAATGTAGATCCCCCATTCAATGGGGTGCGTTGCTATCTTGGACAACATTTCTAACCAGCAATCTGAAGACAATGACACTTATTCACTTAACTCAACGGAATAGTAGCTAGTCAGGCTCTTGAGTCACTAGCTCCGGGTGAAGTTCCTCAAAAACACCCTTCCGATGAGTTTGCGTAAAGACAGTGAAACCTACTTGTCTGGGCGAACCGAAGGGAAAAAAAGACCTTTCCATCAATGAAGAGCCGTCTGTGGACAATGAAGACTGCGGTTAGCTGATGTTCTCACTTAGGAAGTGGATGCTTTGGGGCTTGAATTACTGAAAAGTAGTAAGACGACAAGTTCGGACCTTTTATTTTCAAAGACGGCGGTGACAGATTGTTGTCCGGATTGACCACATTTCCCCATCTTGTATAGGAGACTGAAGCGGTGCTCGATGATTGAAACTTATGGTCATTTCCACTTTCAAAAAGGTATCATGTCGTCGTGACAAACAGAGATATGAACTGTCTCAATCGCACTCAAGATGCTCTGCAGTGACTTCTGAAGGACAGAGAGAACCAAATGAGGATAGGCAAGTCCCCAGCTTTGTCACGGATGTACCGATCATAGCTTCACCTTGCGACAGACATCGGAGTTCCCTTTTTTTAACCAACGGCTGTGGGGAACGCCAATGAACTGCGTCAATTTACTAAAGTCATAACATATCCATCTTGGGCGCAGTCTTCAAGGATACACCGCATTACTGTTGAGTTGGATGGCAGCTCGAAACACTAGTCTCTCTTTAGGCTGAAGGTCATTTTCAATAAATAGATGCTCGTCGCCCGAACTGCAACGATTCGACGAAAGACCATGGATACCGAAACCTTGGTTACGACTGGGATCAGGCTAGGTCCTCTATGGCTCTCACAAGCCCCTGACTTCCTTCTTAAATATGGGCGTTAGTATCGAGTAAGGCCGCTACAGAGGGATGTTTTCTGCAACCTGCACCAATCGAGACAATTGAGCCAAGGCGTATAGTTAAGATGACGGAGATGCGTCCGTTGGAGAACTGAACATTTTCCCCCGGGATCTTGAAATATTGTGAAATTTTCCTCGTCCTGGTGGAAATCGACAGTTACAATTCTTGTGAAGAAAGGCTTGTGCGATGTGAGAAATAAGCGACAAGGAGTCAGAACGATTACAGTTGCACCTACACGATTAATGTTCATGGTGCCTCGGAATTTATCTGGAAGACGTGGGGAGCTATCACGAAGATCAAGCTGGAATTCACGTAGATCGTGGTTATAGCGATAAGGGTTTCAACCTCCGCTAACTGTCCGTCTGCCAACGATCAACATTAACCATGTCTCTGACATCAGAGTGGCCTTCCATTCTATCAACAGAGCTGTTCTCCGAGATTGATCGTTAATAAGCGCGTGCCTGTTCCGAAAGCGTGATACATTCAGGTCTCAAGCGGCTGGGTACAGCAAGGCTATCTTGTCCTGTCTCTCCCTCTATTATTTTTTACACTTTGCGACTAACGATACCATACACAAAGTCCTATGCAGTCTCACCAATGATGGTGTGTAACATCCCGTATGATACAGAATTGTAGACTTACACTAGGATTACGATATCGCCGTGCTTGGTGACAATGTGCAAGCCGCCTAGGATCCCATAAACCGTTTGAAGTGTTACGGTATGGTACTCTGAGTATAAAGTGCTTCTTGGAGGCTGACAGAGACTCGTGCTCACACTTAACCTGGGTAGTGACAACCTACAACTGATCGAAAGTTTCGTTTGACTTGGAAACTTTATCGCGGTTGATGATGTTGAAGAAGAAAGCTCCCCATGCAATGCTGAAACCTGACTGGCGTTTGACAACCTCAGATACCTGTTGTTGTCGACATCCGTCTCTCGTTAATGGACAACACGACGGTACGATCGGGATTGCGTCATTTATAAGAAACCCAGCCGCTTCACGTCGATGACTTTCCGTCTATTTGACCATTTTTAACAACCGTTGTTGGCGTGGTGGCAACGCAAAGTTATCGCAATCGCATATGGTGTAAAACTGACAAGAAATTTTTTAATTAATAAATAGTTTGGCAGATTTATGATTTTAGATGAGACCCAACTGTAAAAAACCAGGCCTTCGGCTGGATTTGAACCAGCGATAGAAAACATGTCTCAACACGGCAAGCACTCTACTAGCTGAGCTACGAAGCCATGCCAGGAGCTCGGAAATTTCACATTTGGACTCCGTTCCCCACCTGTCCCTATGCCTCGTATGGAGATCAAATGACCCAGAGGATCGACTGCTCTGGTAGGATTTCTGGTAGATTCCATAGAGACAGTGAGACGGGTGGGTATCGGAGTCCAAATGTGAGAGTTCCGAGCTCCTGGCGTGGCTTTGTAGCTCAGCTAGTAGAGCGCTTGTGTTGAGGCATGGTGTTTCTGTCGCTGGTTCGAATCCAGCCGAAGCCCAGAATTTTCACAGTTGGATCTCATCTAAAAAAGAAGTTTTTTCTCCTGGTACCATTGTGCCTTATTTTGTATCCTTAGTTTTATCCACCAATTTTTTAGGGAACCGTTTATTTTGTGGTGTTGTTTTCAGGCTTGCATAATAATAATAATACTGTTACGTAGTGACGATTTTTGTGGTCGATCGAAAATTTCCTGTCATCCCGAAATTAGTTTGGTGCAGTTTCATTCGTTTGATATCGATCAGAATAATCAACTCTTTTAAACGCCTATAATTACTACTGCTCTTTTAAACAACGACACGATAAGCTAGTTCGTCTGTCATCATTTAGATTTCAGATAATCCACTGATTAACCCTCGTGGTTAGCAGTATTGCCACCGTTGTCATATTGATTCATCTTTACAATAGACGAATGTTTGATAATTCGTATCAGTTAAAAACGTAGGGTCAAGAACCAAACGTATGAAACATTCAACAGTGTTCTAATTACCAGTTCTTATTTTACTGCATTTTTACATCATCCATACATTTATTTACATCGATTCACAATTCGGATTTTCTCGGGTATATGGAGAGGGTGATTTTCTAGAACTTCGGTGCTCGCTTGCGACCAGTGTACTTTGAATCATGTGCAACTTCCTTCATCTGCTTGCGAGCACGCTCCTTCTTCCTTTTGATCCAGGCTACACTGTGCTTTGCAGGTTTGTTCATTCGGCGACACTCGCGGATTTCGTCTAATCGTCCTCGTATGACGGACGTTGGATGCGGCGTTGATCCTTCCTCAGTCAGTGGTTGTGGTTGACGCCGACAGCTGCTCACATCGAGGACCAGAAAATACCTAGATAAAGTAAACGGGATAATGCAACGAAATTTAGGCCAAAATATACTTTTGTAGGATATACCAAACAGATCTATCATAGCATTTGTAAAACAGATTGCATAAACGATCTGCAGTCGAATACATATGAGACCACCGCTCCTAGAACTGAGAAGAAACGGGTAGCAAACAAGCTTGTTTTCTGTGTTTTATTATCAGACTAGATACAACATATTTATGTGGTAATATGTTAACATTTCATTTACTTTCGTCAGTCACAAACGTGAAACATACCAGTTATACACAGTAGCCAAAGGGAACTCGGTGCTTCAAACATCTGTATGGGTTCGGTGGGCGGTAGATAGCATACCGCTAGAGCGAGAGATGTCAATCATTAATATCCGTCGGATTTGATTCACTAGACTTAGTTACGTAACACTGACCACTTGCGTCGTACAGAGTTTGCGGAAGAAGCGTCACTCACGAACCAAACAGGAACAAGTGTAGATGGCTGATCACCAATATTTCTCTCAAGCAATACTCTCTCATGCGGTCACATTCTGCTACTTTTAGGTAATCTATGTCCGACAAGGCTAAATTATGTCTGCATACCGGTGCAATTTCAACTCTATCCAGTGGCGAAAATGACCAGATTCAATCAAGGTTGGCAAGTCACATGCAAGAAACAGCGGAAGTTACGCAGTGATAAAAGTTGATAAAGAAATTATACTTTTATGGACACGTTTGGAGAAGCATAGTAACTAAAAACGTTCGCGTAGAGATGTTTGACTTAAAATAGACACCAATGAAGAGGAAAGGTGCTCTCTATGGACAACGCAGTGAGAAATGTTTGCTTCCTGTCATACTATGAGTGAACTTCGGAACTTATTGGCATACTAATACACATGGGGTTTCGATCCAAGCGCCCTATGCAGAGATTTAGAATAACAGTAAACTGGACGGCGAGACGTTTCACGTGATGTGAAATCGAATTAACTGGATAGAAAAATCGACAGTTACTTGGTAACGTCGTGACAGAAGACAGTGAATAGAAGTCAGGTACCTGTGATGCAGTTTGTACATTTGTTGTAGCGTGCGGTCGCCATTCAATTCTGTCGTCTTGTTTATAGGCAGATTATGGGCTAGCCATGCCACTCTAATTGCACACTGAGGCTAATTTCGACGATGGGCCATTAACACTTTATGCATGCTTCGTGTTCGCTGTTTGAATTTGGGGGAAATGGGTTCACATGCGGTGGACTGAAAAGACCAAGTCGAAAGAGCCAGCATGTGTATTTTTTCGACCTGAACTGAATCTTGTTTTATGCATCTTTAGGATTCTGTGTACTGCACAGGACAACATATGACATTATTGAGCCGAAAGTCACACAGTTCATTATACTTTCTAACGTCCTGAGCCAAATACAACACGGTGTTCTCTCTTCTACTTCTGCACGTCGTCTGCAAGTGATTTTTCTATTGCGTACGCTATTGGTCCACAGAAATTTGTTGACAAACTTTCGGGAAAATGCCCAGGATACAGGAACTCGATATTTGTGGTATACAGTGAACAGGTGGATTATCTTCGTGAAAGTACGATCGGTTCCGAAAAATAGGGGTCTCAGATCGACGTGTTCGTTTACTGTTAAGTGGATCGGTTTTAGGCTCGAGACGCATCAATTCAACGGCTTGCCGAAGGTAATATTCATATAGGTTGAACATCACCTACAATTGATCGCAGCTGTCGCATTCCCATAGACTTTCCAGTCGGCCCATTTCGAAAAAAAGCACTAGACTCGAGTTTCGCTCTCATTAGAGCTCGTCAGTAGTGCATATCATCGCCACTGCCGGGACTTGAACCACGGACATTCTGTTCATGAGGCAACCGTGTTTACCACTGCGCCATTGACCTCACGTTAGGCACGGCCGAATTATCATATGTGAGTATTGTTGTGAATATTGTTAACCAGAGGGACACGAACCGTGATATGAGGGATGTTATCGATCGCTTTAAAGTCAAACAGACAAACGCACATCGACAGGACGGATTAATTATCATGTGGAGTAATCCCTTCAGTGTCCTCACCAATGTTACGGCAATAAAGATGAGATGTGACGGATGATGCCCGTAGCAATATGTGCAGCATCAACTAGTATGCCCAGCACTCCCTAAACATCCTGTAACGATCCCCACCTGGTAATATCATGCGACAGACACAATATTGTTGGAACTGCAAGCATGAGACGATATGAAAAACATGGTGCCATTGTGTTTCGATTTCATCCCCAAAAAGTTAAAAAAACAAAGCTTCCACCGGAAAATCCAAACTATCCCAAAACCATTGTCATTAAAGATATCAATACATCGGTAGTTTGTGTTGGTCCTTATCTGTCATAAAACCATGACGAAAACGGGATGTGTAAACTACGGAGAAAAAAGAAAGGACCCGACTACTAAAAACAACTGCCTATACTCAAACATTCAACATCAAGATGTTTCCAAATAGCCGAGCTATAGGCGAAGTTAAAGCGCCAGCAACAAGACCTTGCGGCTTTCACTGCCCAGCGTCATTACACTTACCTCGCAGTCGACTCGGCAAAACAGCAACATTAACGCCACTGAGTGCGATTAGCTGTCAGCTTACCTAAAGTCTGAAATTATGGACTTTGAGTCGTGAGGACCTCAGTTCGGGAGACGAATTCAACATACAACAGTTAAGCTCTTGGTGAACGACATCAGTTCTATACGCGGAGTCATCCTAAATTAGAGCGACCCAATATAAACGGATGGTACGCATGCGAAAGCGTTTAAAATATAAGTTACAATCGACACGCTGACATGAATAAATTATTTACAAATGCCCACAACAAGCAGGCTTACTTTTTAGCTCGAGTGCTATTTGGATAGTCAATTATCAGGCCACCAGTAAACCCAGCTCGCATTGCCTCAGTCTGCAGAAGATCAGTTTGTAACACTGACTCCGGATAGAACTGTAACACGGCTCTGGCAGTCCTGGTTAAACATGCATACAGCGATGTAAAGAACTTTCGGATGCGAGCGACCGGATTGTGTTCCGTCCGATCCGCATTGCACAGCCATTGAAGAGCAGAAACGCTGATCGCCCCATCAAATAGCGCGCTACGAAATGGTAAACCATTACCAATATCGCCCAACACAAGATCCCCTTCCACTTCTCGTTCTTTCGCTACTGCAAGCATCGGCAAACTGATATCGATGCCAATCCATTCATGGCCATATTCTGTCACTGTCTCGCCACTTAGACACGAGCCACAACTAGGAAAGAAAAGTTTACCTACTGCGTGCCAGTTTGAAGACGCACCCAATATCCAATAAAGTATGACTTTCATCTTCTGGTAAGGCCAATAGCTCTATGGCTCGTTCTGTTATTCGGGTTTGTACTTCTATTATGTGAGAACTGGCCAAGATTGATTTGATAGATTATGCAGACAGGTGGAACGCACTTGGAAGTATACTTTTGTGCTTCCTTCTCATTGTAGTACTGAAAAAGAAACTGAAGGCGAAGCCGCAATGTGAACTCACCAATTCTGGAGGTAAGGTACTCTCCGGACGTTTGTGTGACATCTATTTTACTGTAAAAGAAATATTACGAATATTAGTTTGTGGGGGTAAAAGAGCGTGACAACAAAAATAACGAGACGTAGATATTATCACCAAAGTCCACCAGATGAAAATCTAATAATCCGTGCCGAGCGTATCGGGCAGTTTAGCGCGCCTCAATAAATTTGGAGTACAGAATGAATGACTTAGAGGGCTGACTGCTCTGCTCAAGAAACTCTGGATCGGTGAAATTGTTCGAAGTGATTACAGCTTGGCTAACATCTTCCCCATATTTGCAACGGGCTCAAAAACTGCGTGTGCAGACCACGAGGAGATCAACCAGATT